TTGTTGGAAGGAAATGACTTATCTTAGAAATGCAATGATATTAATGCATATATGTGGAATCTGAAAAAATTGATATTCTGTTGTTTTTCAGTTGCTAAGTTGTGTCCGACTCTGCAACCCCATGAACTGCAGTACTCCAGGCTTCCCTGTCCTTCACAATCTCCTGGAGTCTGCTCAAACTCGTGTCCACTGAGCCAATGATATCTAACCATCCCATCCTCGGCCGCCCCCTTCTCCTCTTGTCCTCAATCTTTCCCAGCACAAAGCAGAAATAGAGAACAAATGTATGGATACTAAGCAGGGAAGGAGGGGTGGGATGAATTGGGAGATTGGGATTGACATATATACATTATTGACTCTATGTGTAAAATAGATAGCTAGGGAGAACCTACTGTATAGCAGAGGGAGCACCACAGTGCTCTGTGCTGACCTAGATGAAGGAAGGGGCTTCTCAGGTGGCTCAATGGTAAAGAATCTGCCTGCAATGCAGGAGATGCAGGAGATGCGGGTTTGATCCCTGGGCCGGGAAGATCCCTTGGAGTAGGAAACGGCAACCTACTCCAGTATTCTTGTCTGAAAAATCCCGTGGACAGAGGAGCCTGGCAGGCTACAGTCCATGGGGTGGCAAAGAGTCAGACATGACTGAGTGACTGAACACACACACATACGAAAATGGGAAGGAAATCCAAAAAAGAGGGGATGTGTTCCCCGCTTAGGATCCAGACATTTGTTCTCTATTTCTGCTCTGTAAATAAGATCTCTATACCAATTTTTTTTTAGATTTCACATATATGTATTAATACCATTGCATTTATAATATAAATCATTTCCTCCCAACAACTATTTCTTTTTTTTTAAATTCTTATTCTGCGTATTTTATTTTAAATACCATTTTTTTGTCTATTTTCTTTATTTTTTTAACTTTTTTTTTTCTTAATTGACATGAATCAGCCATGGAGTTACATGTATTCCCCATCCCGATCCCCTCTCCCACCTCTCTCTCCACCCGATTCCAACAACTATTTCATTTGTTATTTTGCTTGTGTGGGAAATACGTATACATACAGTTGATTCACTTTGCTGTACACTAGAAACTAACACCACATTGTAAAGAAACTATACTCCAATAAAAATTTCAAAATGAATAAAAATAAAATTAATAAATATAAAAAAAAAGAAATGCAATGAACTATGTGGAGATCTTTCTTTAGGTTTTACCAATTACCTGGTCTGGCCAGGCTGAGCAGCAGAAGTTGGGACCCGGTAGCAGGGAGAAGACACTCCATGCAGAGATTGAAAAATCACAATACCTGCATAAATTGTTTAATTTAAGACTTTATGAAAAAGAAACTGTAACTTAGTTGATTGGAATACACTGTGGAATTAGGATTATTATATGTCTTATAATGAGGAGGCCCGGAATATGTAAGCATCAGGTAAAACATATTCTCCTCATGAAGAAAAATCCTGACACACCTAAGAAACAAGGGAGCTTTAACTCCTCCACTTCCCACAGAAAATGTTAACAGAAAAATGTCTGGTGTACATGAACATGAGTGGTGAGGCCCAAGAGAGAATTCAAAAGGTAGTCAATTTTTACCAGGAAGGAAGTTGAAAAGTCATGTCAGATAAGCACCAAAAAGTGACAGGTGGGCATGAAAAATATCTCCTGGGCAATTGATCCCATTTTTAGGTCACTTATGAAGCCCAGAGTCAGTTCTGGTCAGAGTTTGACTACCCCACCCACTCTGAAGGCCTCTGGAATCTCCACACCACCAAGCAGGCTAGCGACAGTCCCTTGAGAGCCAGGAAGCCACCCAGACACTGTGTCATGCTAGCTTGCATGCCTAAGGTCCACGGGTTCACTGCTCCATGCCGATCCTTTGTTTGAGGACTTCCTTCTGTGCAGCCCAGCTGGGACCTCACTGCCCTTTCCAGCTGCCCGAGGGAACTGATCTTTCGGTGTATCACTGCCCTGTGTGCCAATATGGAGTCTTCCTTAGGACTGTTGTGCTGACCATAATTTTTGTCTGTACATCCTTGTCAAGGAGACAGTTTCCATGGGACTCTCCTTCTCTTGTAAGGAACTAGAAACAGGGGAAGGATGAGCATGTGAGACTGTGATGAGTTTTGGAGGACTACCAAGTCCTGGTGTCTTTCACAAGGTATTACGTGGTATTTGGAGAAGGAAATGGCAACCCTCTCCAGTATTCTGGCCTGGAGAATCCCATGGACAGAGGAGCCTGGCAGGCCATGGTCCATGGGGTCGCAGAGAGTCGGACATGACTGAAGCGACTAAGCACACGTTATGTGCTTATATATTTTCTGCCCATGAAACATGGGCAGGAAGGCTGGGAGCTTCTGACCCACCACTGCTTGGCTCTGAGCATCCTCGTGTGTTGTACATAGTCATCTTGGAGGGTCTGTGACAGACAGGCAGGGCCTCTACTTGTTCCTCTCTGTGTTCCACATGGCCGTGTGACCATAAGCATCAGGTAAAACATATTCTCCTCATGAAGAAAAATCCTGACACACCTAAGAAACAAGGGAGCTTTAACTCCTCCACTTCCCACAGAAAATGTTAACAGAAAAATGTCTGGTGTACATGAACATGAGTGGTGAGGCCCAAGAGAGAATTCAAAAGGTAGTCAATTTTTACCAGGAAGGAAGTTGAAAAGTCATGTCAGATAAGCACCAAAAAGTGACAGGTGGGCATGAAAAATATCTCCTGGGCAATTGATCCCATTTTTAGGTCACTTATGAAGCCCAGAGTCAGTTCTGGTCAGAGTTTGACTACCCCACCCACTCTGAAGGCCTCTGGAATCTCCACACCACCAAGCAGGCTAGCGACAGTCCCTTGAGAGCCAGGAAGCCACCCAGACACTGTGTCATGCTAGCTTGCATGCCTAAGGTCCACGGGTTCACTGCTCCATGCCGATCCTTTGTTTGAGGACTTCCTTCTGTGCAGCCCAGCTGGGACCTCACTGCCCTTTCCAGCTGCCCGAGGGAACTGATCTTTCGGTGTATCACTGCCCTGTGTGCCAATATGGAGTCTTCCTTAGGACTGTTGTGCTGACCATAATTTTTGTCTGTACATCCTTGTCAAGGAGACAGTTTCCATGGGACTCTCCTTCTCTTGTAAGGAACTAGAAACAGGGGAAGGATGAGCATGTGAGACTGTGATGAGTTTTGGAGGACTACCAAGTCCTGGTGTCTTTCACAAGGTATTACGTGGTATTTGGAGAAGGAAATGGCAACCCTCTCCAGTATTCTGGCCTGGAGAATCCCATGGACAGAGGAGCCTGGCAGGCCATGGTCCATGGGGTCGCAGAGAGTCGGACATGACTGAAGCGACTAAGCACACGTTATGTGCTTATATATTTTCTGCCCATGAAACATGGGCAGGAAGGCTGGGAGCTTCTGACCCACCACTGCTTGGCTCTGAGCATCCTCGTGTGTTGTACATAGTCATCTTGGAGGGTCTGTGACAGACAGGCAGGGCCTCTACTTGTTCCTCTCTGTGTTCCACATGGCCGTGTGACCTTTGTCAGCTGTGAAGGTGGACTCTGCTGAGCTGCAGAAGCAGAACTGACATCAAGGACTTGAGTGCAAGTAGCTTACCTGGGAGGTGACCCCAGGAGACATCAGGCTTAATCCTGCTGGGGAACTCTGGAAGCTGATCCAGATAATGTGATTCAGAGTTATCCCAGCTGAGGGAGAGAGTTAGGGCATTTCTACATCAGCTCCTCTCAGGTGTTGGTGGAGTGCTTCTGGGTGAGGGGGGTTAATTAACCTCTGGCTTTCCAACGTACCTGTTCTGCGGTTCTGCGGTAACCTCATACGGCTTATGGCAGAAACCCTGTAGGAGGTTTATACTAACCTGTCAGTGGACTCCCCTGGTGGCGCAGATGGTAAAGCATTTGCCTACAATGTGGGAGACCCATGTCTTCAATCCCTGAGTTAGGAAGATCTCCTGGAGAAGGAAATGGCAACCTACTCCAGTATTCTTGCCTGGAAAATCCCATGGACGGAGGAGCCTGGTAGGCTACAGTCCATGTGGTCTCAAAGAGTCAGACACGACTGAGCCACTTCACTTTTCTTTCTTTTTCCAACCCACTTCCAGGGAGGGCAACATGGATTCCGGCAGCTTAGGCACCGACAGGCAGACACTGGCAGTTGGAATCGGGCTGGTGTGCACTTATGAGCTATGGGGAGGAATGCAGATGGGCCCAACATGTCTATAAGTCCTCTGGGCTCCACTCCCACCCATCTTCATCCATCGTAGTCTCTAGGGAGCCTCGCTTCAATAACTGGGCAGCACTGGACTCACTTCAGGCACGTCAGACCTCATGAAAGGGAAAGATAGACCTGCTGCTGCCTCAGATGTACTTAGCCTGTGCAGGGTTTGCTATGCTGCTCATGGAACCCAGGCCTAGTCAGCTCAATAGAGGTGGTTACTTTATAGTCCAAGTGTTTCTGTTACACTTTAATGGGGAGAGCCTCTGCCCTATAACCAAACCCATATTCTTGAAACTCAAAATCTGCCACTACTTCCTCCTCCTCATACCAACCCAGATTTGGGAACTTCTTTGATGTTTCTGGCAACCTCTGAGACCAACACGCCCCTTCCTATCCTGGGCTTCCCTGGTAGCTCAGCTGGTAAACAATCCATCTTGCAATGTCAGGAGACCACGGTTCGATTCCTGGGTCAGGAAGATCTGCTGGAGAAGGCACAGGCTACCCACTCCAGTATTCTTGAGCTTCCCTTTTGGTTCAGCTGGTAAAGAATCCACCTGCAATGTGGGAGACTTGGGTTCTGTCCCTGGGTTGGGAAGATCCCCTGGAGAAGGGAAAGGCTATCTACTCCAGTATTCTGGGCTGGAGAATTCCATGGACTGTATAGTCGATGGAGTCACAAAGAGTCGGACACAAGTGAGCAACTTTCTATTTATCTATTGATGTTTCTGACAACTTCTAACACCAGCACTCCCCTTCCCACCCCGGGGCTTCTCTGTTGTCAGCCTACAGGTGATTCATGTGAGTCTGAACTTTGCTCAGCAGTCTTGAAATGAGAAGCTCATGGACATTGGTAGAGAAATCAGGCAAGGAGGTGAGTCTGTACTTGCAAGAGGTTGGACTGAGGTGCCTAGTTTCCAGTCTGCAGCTCCCACCAGATCTTCTTGAGTGCTGAGCAAGAGAGTCCTTTGGTAAGATTGTCACACAAAGATGGTACCCAAAGTCTTAACATGAGGATGCATTTCCAATCTAAAGAGAAATAAGGAGAACCATGCCCTTTTTATTTCAGCCTCTCTATTCTCAAGTCAAAAATTTGTTGTTGTTTTTAATTAATCCATAAATCAACCAAATAACAAATGGTCATCTGGAAACCACTGTTGGCCAAGCAAAGTAGCTGATGCTGAAGGAAACACACAGATGTTGGAAAGAGTTCTTGCCTTTGGCAAGTTTACAGTCTAGATGAAGAGACCACATTGACAATGTGTGACTCTAAGGTGCTGTGACTTGATTTTTAGAAGAAACATACCAGAATTTTTACATGGCTAATTCTCCCTCACGTGTTCCTGTGTTAAAACATTATGATTTCCAATTAAGTCATGTTTATTATTATCATTAAGCAGCTTTGCACAGCAACATGTTTGTGGTAACTTCACGGGCATGGCAGGGATGTGAAAATGACGATTTTTCTCAGCTAAAACATAACCTGAGGTTCTTCCCCTCGATCACTAGACAGTGATATAACTCTTTTAATGTATGTGCACAGGGCTTGGAGATGCCATTAAAAGAAAGTGCTAACAAGTGCCAAACCAGCAGCAGGGCACGGAGGCACATCTCTTTCACCATTGTTGGATGCTGAAATTTGAACTTGTATAGAACAAATGATTTTTTAAAATTATTTTTTGTTGGAGTATAGCTCTTTACAATGTTGTTACTTACATTCATCCCCCCCTTTTCCAATTTCCTTCCTTTTTAGGTCACCACAGAGCACTGAATAGAGTTCCCTGATCTAGACAGTAGATTCTCATTAGTTATCTATTTTATACATAGTATTAACAGTGTGTATATGTCAATCCCGATCTCCCAATTCATCTCAAACCCTTATTCCCCCCACAACCCTTGGTGTCTATATGTTTGCTCTCTACTTCTGTGTCTCTATTTGTTTTGCAAATAAGATCATATACACCATTTTTTCTAGATTCCACATATATGCAATAATATAAAATACTTAGAACAAGAGTTTTTTTAACTTCAAAAAGCCTAATTGAGGATGATTTTCTCTTTATACAGGGGAGAGCTGATTTCTAGAGATACAAAGTAGTAAGTACCTACGGTGAGCCAAGGAATTTCTAGGTATTTTAGCCTCACACAACACAACCCTATTAGATCAATTTTGCTTCCCTTCATTTGCGCTATGAGGAAACTATGGCTCAGAGTGCTGAGATACCCTGGTCTGTATTACACACATAGAAGTCAAGGCAGGAGTGAATGCTGGTCCATGGGACTCCATGATCAAAATCATAGACCTGTTGCCTCCGCCCAGTGAAAAGTCTCTCTAAGCAAGGGATGCAATTAATAGGAGCTTGTTTCTTCATTGAAGTATAGAAGACAGCATGCTGAAAGCCCTGCTGGATTTTATTTCCAGGAAAACCAAGGTGGACGCCTGCCAGGGCCTGCCACAAGTTGTCTGGCACTGCCCAGATGTGGAGAGTCAAGCGACTTTATCTTTGCGAGTAACAACCAAATCTGTGCTACCAATGTGGATTCAAAAACCCAAATCTCATTCTTGGTGTGAGATACAGAGCAAAGGAGAGGGCAAGAAATGTTCCAATAAAAGAACCGGTGCCGTGTGAATTTCATTTCTTAGAAAGAATCTTAAGAAGTTCATTCTTTTGTCTGCATTGTCATCAACTCTCTGCCTGCTGTGCTGGCTTTCTTTCCACTACCCCTTCCCCTCAATATGCATCGAAACTTCTTTCTCCTCTTTTGTTCAGTTTAGCAGGAAAGATCTTTGGAGCAGAAGGAATGGGCGCCTTTAGCAAGCTCAGATATCAAATAATTTTTCACCTCCCTGTAATTGAAATCACAGGATCGGGATTTGCTTCCCTCTGGCTGGCTCTTCTCTTGTTCTCTGGGATCACAGATGGAGTGGGGTGAGGGTGCTATTGACTCCCTACGGCTTGTCATCTGACAGACGGACACATCAGCCAGGAAGGGGTCTGACTCTTAGATGAATTCTTTTATCCTCAAAGGGGCTTCCTGCAAAGGAAACCATTAGTGTTTTGCTATCGGGTTTCTACTCCCCATGGTGTCTAAGAAACCATTCATTTAATTTTGTGACATTTTGAGTGGATTTGGAGAGCTAAGCCCATTTGAAAAGGCCTGTTCCTGTCTAGGAGGACAGAGGAAATGCAAATAAAATCCAAATGGTCAAACCCCCAGCAGCCTGAGTGTGGACCTGCCTGCCTCTCTCTTCAGCCTGAGTTACATGTCATGGGTTATGTTGCGAAAAGTTGGTGATGCAGTGGTACCCAGCCCCTTCCTTGGCCATGGCCAGGAACTGACCCCAGACCATGAGAAAACTGGCCTGAAGTTCGATGGCAGAGAGTTTAAGAAATCTTTTGTCTTCAAGAAAATGACACTACACATGATCCTTCCTAACCCTCATCTGGTGGATGAAGGTGAGGATGGGTATTAAGATGAAGAGTATGTGCTCTGTTACGTGCTGGCTGTGTCACCTGGGTGAGGTCACAGTAATGCTTTTAAAAGATGCAGCAGTTACCTGCCTGGTTGTCATTTTGAGATCAGAGATGAGATCGCTTATGTAAAATATTGGATGTAGTACTAGTACGCAGTAAAATTGCAGTAAATGCCAGATGTCACTAATACTGTTTTCCATATTGCTTGTACGTTCATGGTAGCTATCCATGGTGACTTGTCACATGCCCTGTCTGTTACTAGACCAGAACTGTCTAATAAAAATATAATGCAAACCACATATGTAACTTCAAGTTCTCTAGTAGCCACATTAAAAAAAGTAAAAGGAAATGGTAACAATTTTTGTTATATATTTAACCTATTCAAATAAAAGACTATTATCATTTCAGCATGAAATCAGTATAAAAATTATTGAGATGTTTTACATTTTTTCCATCCTAACTCTTTGGAATCCATGTGTACTTACATGTACAGATCATCTCAGTTCAGATGAGCCCCATTTCAAGTCCTAAAGTATAGAGCTAGTGGTTCCGCTACAGGATGGAGCAGGCATCGGTTCTGTAATCTATAACATGGGGATTAAACATACCGTGGCATTTGGAAAAAATGTGTAAAACCATTAAAGGAAATTCTTTGGTGATTTCATGTTTTTTTTTTTTTAATTCAAATTTTTGTTTCTTTCTGAGTCAATGTTGATGATTTGTATTTTTCTAGATATTAGTTTATTCCACCAAAGTTTTAAAATTCAGGACTAATTGTTCAACCTATTATCTTTTGATCTTAAACAAATCTCCTATGCTTTATAAACCTATATTGTTATATTCTACAATGCTATATCCTACATTGCAGTCCTGATTTCATACAATAAAGAGATGTTATACCTGTCTATCCTTAAAAGGTACACTGTTACTCAAGAGAATATGCACAAGTCTTTTAAAGACTTTTTACACAAATCTTAGTGAATTTCTGTCTAACACAGACTAGTAAGTGTCCCTTGTGTTCAGAGACAGGAGGCTATGGATGGTTAGAGCAGGTTTGGAAGCAGAGTTGAAACAGAAGCCACATGACCATGGGCTGAGGTGGTAAAGGGAGCCAAAGATGTATAAACAGAGAGTATTCTGAAAAGCAGTTCAAATAAGAAACAATATATGGGCAGCTGGGGGTGAGGGAGAGGTGGTGCCCAAGATTGAGAAATGACCAGCTGTGTGGAAGTCAAGCCCTCCTGATCCTTGTCCACCCATATCTATCCTCTCAGAGTGAATCCTCCCACCTCTGGACCCGGGAGATCTCCCCAGACACAAGCTCACTTGGCAGTTTGTGCTTCTCTTTCGTAGTTCTTCTAGTATTTGTCATAATATACTCATTCCGTAAGCATCATACATCATCTGTCTCATTCACTAGACCCTAAGCTCCACGAAGGGGGGGTGGGGTCATGTCTGCCTTATTTTCCAGTAAATATTCTTATACCTGTCATAGTGGTTGGCACCTAGGAGGCTCCCAGTAAATGTTTTTTAGGTGAAAAACAATGCAAAAATGCACTTTATCTTTGATTTTATGTTAGATGGGAGGTAATTGTAGTGGGTGAGAAAATTAACATCAGCTACGAAGAGGTTGAAGCTATCAGAGTATAATTATAACAAGATCCTTCATAAAATGGGGTGAAATGGGACCAAAAAGGAATACAAAAGGGTAATTATAGAGAAGGAGGAAAAAAGAGACACTCATCTTTTGGAGAGGATTAAAAGATTGCTGTAAGGGTTTGTAAGTGAGAAATTAGAAATTTAGACCAACTGTCTCCTGATAACCTTGCCTTGATGAAATGGGAGGAGGGGTGGTTGAGGGGAGTAGTGAGGTTAGTTGCTGAAGAGAAGCAGAAAGGGAAAAAATGGTGAAGGACAAGTGGAAAGGTCAGTGATGGACCTGGGAATTCAGCAGAAGATGGAAATCATGGGAGAGGCTGTCTCAAGGCCCTCAGCAGCTCAATTGGAAGAGAAGGTAGTTTATGAAAAGCTCCTTGGGGGATATCAGATAGTCAGGTATATAGTGGAAGGTTGGGAGAGCAAACACACCTAGGAGTTGGTGAGAGGATTTAGAGGATGAACCCTGGATATAGACTGAACAGGTGAGAAATTATGCCAAGAGTCTGTGGTTATGGGAAGCATCAAGAAACAGAAGGATGTGGGTCAGAGATGTGAAGATTGGAATTTAAACTTTCACAGGTGGAGTTGTTTCCAGCGATGGCTAGGTTCCTGGAGTGAGCAGGGAAGTAGGTAGCTGATAGCAATAGAAATGACAAGGAGTCTTAGGTGGTTGTTGTTCTGACCACTGGTATCCTTGGAATGACTTTACACCATGTACTAGAGAGAAAGATTCAGTTTTCATGTCTTGGTGGCCATGGCAATAGGGAAGGGGTTTTTAGGTAACAGAAATAAGGAAAGATAGAGCTGGAAGGCCATCTGTGAACCAGACTTTTGTCCTTTGTCCTTCTTGCTGTCTATCAGTTTCCCATCAGTGACCCCAGACCACAAACCTTGTGTGTTGGGTGTGGGTAGTTTCATGAAGATCTGCAGTGAAACTGCAAATGCCTTTTAGTTACTTGCTCACAGATGGGAAAGTAAAAGAACTTTGCAAGCTTAGCGAACTTACTTGAGGATGATAAAAATCTTAAGGGAAAAACTATTTGGGATGTAGGTCAAAATATCTTCAGATTAATCAGATAGTCCCCAGAGGCCTGGACAGCCTGTCAGTAAGTGACTGAGACATATGAAAGATCCCATAGTAGCTTTGGAGAAGAGGTAAGGCGATTGACAGACCCAATCTGCTTTCTCTGAAGGGTCTGGTTTTTAGGGCTGCAGGCTCATCTCTCCAGGGAATGTATGATTCCATTGACTGATGAATAGAGAGAAAGCAGTGATCCACTGAAGCCTGGCACATAGTCTGCTACTGTCGTTACTAGGAAAGTCAGCTGGCACTCTGGCCCTAGTTTCCTCATCTGGAAAAGGAAGCTGGTGGTCAAGAGGGAAGTTTTCAAACAGCATTCCAGTTAGAAAACCTGGGGCATGTCTCAGCACACCTCATGGCTCTTGTTCTCACCTCCTTGGCTTTCAGATTCTTGATCTCACCGTCCCAGCTTTGATATCTATCTCTGGCAACTCATTTGAGTCCCTGCCTGAGTTTTTTGGTTCTTGTTTCACCACTCAGCTCTTATCTATACTCATACTCCTAATGTGAAGATACCTATCAGCCTCCAGAAATTGAGTCCCTTCTCTTTTTTCCAAAGGAACATTAGACACCCCACCACCAGAACACCTCTGAGTCTGTGAAGTGGTACTCAGCTGAGAACTGGGCAGTACCCCTTCCACACCCAGTCCTTACCTTCCTGCTAGATGTCTGTTTCCAGGACCACACCAGGTTGCGTTCATGTGTTCATGAGCTCAGCATCTTCCTAATCCATCATCTTGACTTCCATCCCCCTCCCCCAGCCCCAAATCCATGGTTTTAAAGGACAGCTCCCTCACCTTTGTCAGAACCGGTCATCCTCCCTGTGGGAGATTCTAGGTCTTGCTATTGATCCTTTCCTTCTCTGTTTGACTTTGAAACATTCACTATTTACTAGCATCTCTCAAGTGAGACAAAGAGAGAAAATAAGTGCCATAGGTTCACAAACTTGCAACTAGAAGATGAATACGTTCTGGAGATCTAATGCATGGCATAGTGATGATGGTCAGCAAAGCTGTATCACATACTTTAAAACTGCTAAGAGACTAGATCTCAAATATTCTCACTAAAAAAGCAAAATGATACTTACATGAAATGATAGTTGTTGTTCAATTGCTAAGTTGTATCTGATTCTTTGTTGACCCATGGACTGCAGCACCCCAGCCTCCTCTGTCCTCCACTATCTTCCCAAGTTTGCTCTAATTCATGTCCATTGAGTCAGTGATGCTACAGAGGTTTTAGCTAATGCTATGGTGATAATCATGTTGAAATATATAAATGTATCAAATAAACACACTGTATACCTAACACTTATACGATCTTATACGTCAGTCATTTCAATAAAAAATAAAGGTAATAAAATAGAAAAAAATTATATTGGACAGGAATAGCTGAGACTTGTGGTTGTTTGTGTCAGACTTTTTCCCTATCTTGACTACACATTTTTCGGGCACATCCAGAATGATGCTTGTTTGGTCCAGTACATTCACCATGTTTGTGCTGTGGCTGGCACACAGCTGTGAAAAGAGGATGTCATGCATTTTTTTTCTAGGCTAGAAAAACAAAAGGCAATAGATTCTTTTGTCTTTTTGTTAGTAAGCCAACAGGTAGTTTGGCAGTTTGGAAACAAGACCTCAACATTTGGTTCAGACTGTCCGTTTTGATAGTTTTATGCGCTATATGATTCTCATTCCTTTTTCATCTAGTTGAAGTCAGTCCTGCTGTAAGAACTAAATATATATATGTATAAAAAGAACTAAATATATGTGTATATACTAATACATATAATATATAGCATATATAATAAATATTAAATATAGTTTAACTTTATTGTAATAGTTATAAACATAAAAAATATTTGTGCTTATAAATATAAATATTTATCCATGCATGCTAAGTCACTTCAGTTGTTTCCCACTGTTTGCTACCCCATGGATTATAGCCCCCCCCCAGGCTCCCTTGTCCATGGGATTCTCCAGGCAAGAATTCTGGAGTGGGTTGCCATTTCCTTCTCCAGGGGATTCTCCTGACCCAGAGATCAAACCCAAGTCCCCTGCAGTGCAGGCAGATTCTTTATCATCTGAGCCACCAGGGAAGCCTTCTGGGAAGCCCTAAATATTTGTAAATAAACATTTATGTCTATAAATGTAAATCAATGCTTATATTTATAGATAAATACTTAATATTTTATAATATTTATATTATTATAATAAATACACTGTAACATTTATTTATATAATAAAACAAAATATATATTTTATATTTATGTAGAATATTTATTTATAAATATAAAATATTTATATTGAAAGATAACTGAGTTTTGGATTTGAAATAACTTGACAAAGTCTACAAAGCCAGTGGGAGATAGCTCTAGAATTTGAATCTGGTCAATTTGCAAAGCTTCTAGTCATTCCACAGCACTATTCACAGGGAGACCACCAGTTACCTGCTGCCCCCCAGGAGGGTGACTCACACTCAGACACTCTTCAGGCAGGATGACATTTGCACTCTGTCATTCTGAAGAAGTCCCTGAGAGGGTGATTTTGCCTTGGAACTTTCCAAAGATACCCAAGAATATTCTAATGTGGGGAAGCATAGTCAATGCCACCCTCAACTGTGGCTTTGGGGACTGAAACATCACTTTCCTGTTGCTCCTCCAGAAGAAATTTTAGGTTGGATGATTTGATAGTCCTGGGGCAGAATAGATGACTCACATGTTACATTAGTTCAGATCCCAGAAGAGGCAGCTGTAGGTGCATAATATGCATCCTACCATCTTGTTCCCATCCTTTAACTTGGGTTGAGAGCTTTCCATGCAGTAGTGTCTGAGGAGAGCAGCTGTGATTGTTCAAGGAAATGTATGCTTTGCCAGTAAGTCAATGCAAGGGAGTGGCTGGGAGATGGTCTGAAAGGGTTAGGGCAGGGAGAAGATTCTAACATTCCTTTTGGCACATTGATTCAAGTTTCTTGCCATTTGATGAGCAACAGGCTGACTGTCTCCAGGCTGAAGTCTAGCCTTCTGTATAGAAGTAGCTGCAATTTGAGGTGGTCCGAAACTTCTCAAATGCCCCCAGTCAGGAGGAAAGTATCTGCTGTTTCTAACCTGGGTATTTTAATATTAAGCAAAATATACAAGAGTTTCCTTAAGTACTGAAGCACCCAAGCAGGCTTTGGCAGCAGATCTTCCATATCATTCAGGGAAAAAAAAAAAAAGTTCTCAAATAACTTATTTGTTTAAAATATACTGTATGATGGTCCCGAGAGTTAGTCTTGTATCCCACTAGTTATGTGACTTCTGCTGTGTAATAAAAAGAATACTCTGATCAAAAAAGTGAGGATCTAAAATCTTCTGTATTCTATAGAATATTAAGAGTGACATACATTCTGCAATAAAGTTTGTTCATGGTTTCAAACTTGTTCCATCTAGAAATTCCATTGTGTATAATATCTATCAACATCCCTTAAAATCTATGTTCTCCAGCACCTGCGTTGGGAAATCCTGGGAAATAAGCAAATCATAGGACATTGCCTGAGACCAAAGCCAAACCACTACCTGCTGGTCTTGGCTGGGTCCAAGACAGACCAAAAAAGCAGACCTTGGCAATCACATAGGTGGTCTGATTCACAGACTCAATTGCATCATTCTGA